ACTCCAAAACTCACCATCATCATCCTTCATCTTTCTTTTTCACTAACGAAAACATTTTCATGCAGAAAAAAAAAATAATCACAATTTATTTTAGGACCACTGATTTTATTCCCACCATTTTATTCCCGCCTGATCCTCTGATGCTGCAAAGGCAAGAATTATTAATTCTGTGGAGATTAATGAATCATTGCTAACACTGCTTTTTTCAAAGATATTCATCATCCTTGCCTCTATGCATTCTAACAGAACTAAGCTAAACCCCTATCATTTCATTTTAAGTAAAAAATTAAATTTATGATTTGCTACTTCCAACTCACACTTGACAGTTTTCCTCAATGATGGCACAGAAGTGAAAAACACCACGCTACAGCTCATCATCTTGCACAGAATACGTGACCTCATGATGTTACTGCTGCTCTAGCTAGGAATTTCACTGCTTTTCAAGAATTTGCCATCAAATTACAGTGCAGTACCTTGTCTAATGCTCATTCAAACATTCAAAAGCTTGAATATAATCAATAGTTAAGAAAAGCTTCAACATACATCATCTTTCCCACCAGTCCAGACTTTTGTACTTCTGAAAAATAAAACTCACCCATTAAGTTCAGTGTCTTTTAGTTCTCTCTTTGATGGCTGCACTACTCTACTGGATTAGAAACAGGCAGAAGCCTCGGTGCTGGAGCACTTCACTGTAGCATCACCAGAATCAAATGTGCAACAGACTGGGAATCCCAATTCTCACTGTGTTGTCATGCTCTACCTCATATATGAAACATTTTGAAGTATTTTTTTCTGAAGTCTGTTTCATTTATACATACAGAGACATTTCAAGTAGTTTATCAGAAATTATACAAAAGCTTGCATGTGTCCCACCTCACGTTGCTTCTGCTCCTCACGTCCACTCTCCAGCAGCTTTTCATTTTACTGTTTCAGTTTCTGGTGATTCAGAGTTCATATTATTGGGAAGGGGAAAAAAAAAGCCACAAGAGGCCTAGCTAGATGGGCAGTTCAATGTACCTTCCAGAAACTGGTCTGTGAATCTTCACGCTGGCGATGGTCACCATCCCCAGTGGTCCTGACAGTTTAGAGAACCAAACGTAAACAGGCAGCCTGCATTGCTAAAGCCAGCCATTTCTGACAGCCTTTACAAGGGCATAAACACCGTCTGCCTACAGTCCCCTTGTATTTGAAACTTATGACAAACATTTTGCTGAAATGTAAATAACTGACATCATGACTGCTGAAGGAGGGGGCTGAAAAATCTATCTGAAAATTGCAAAAAGTAAATGTTGCCTGGCACTAAGCAAACCATGAACAGTCACCAAGAGAGCACTTCTTACAGATTTAGTAAGTATGAGGGCTTTTTTATCATTATTATTAACCTGGATTCACACATCTTTCACTTAAAAAATAATAGCTTTCCTAAGAAAAACACTTTTTTTTCCCCCTGAAATCTTTTCTGAGTACCATTTTCAATTAGTAAGACTAAATATCTTGAAATGTAGCCTACTGAAAAGCAGCTACATTCAGATACATGTGAAGACAGATGATAAATACAAGCACCATGACTGTGGCCCCATTTGTTATAAGCCCCCTCTTCTATTCTTTCCAGTTCCATAGCTCAATTTTAGCTCTATGCTTTGATGACTTAATTTGCAGCTTTACTTAGTGGGATTTCTACAGCACCTAGAAGCCTGAATAAATCAGGAATACTTATGCTCAAAACAGCACAAAATCACTGATTTTATAAAATCAAGACCAGGAAAGTTTTCTTTGTTAGAGCTTTGTGCCAAGCAATAAATGTGTGAGCTTCAGCTTTAACATCTGCTTCAGTTGAGACATTAATGGAACCTCTGAACTTCTCCTGCAGCTCTTCTCTCAGAAGCACATCTGCAGGGTCTTGGTCAAACCTCTTAGTTAAAGGAATAGTGTAAGTTGTGCTGTGGTGTTACATCAGCAGATCTACAAAGACCATCTGAGTGGCAGCCACCTCTGACCCAGGTCAGGCCTGCAGCCCCAGACATAAACATATTTCCTTTTAAAATTATTTTTTAATAATAACAACCACCAGGAAAGCCCACCTCTTCACAGTGAAGAAAAGAATGACAGAAGCATTAGTAACTTAATACTGTCTGTGTGGTCACAACTACAGGATACGCAGATTCCAACCTACTGGTTTCTGAAATCTACGACAGGACATTTTGGTACAGGCACCCAACTTGAGCAGCTGATGCTGGTTTTCCAAAAACACAGGTGAGTATCTGGAGGATATGTCAGTGCAAAAACCCTTCAGTTGACACTGAGCACCAGCTCTTCTACTGAGATCATTTGGCTCCAAGTGCATCATCTGCTCCTGGCCAGTGAGGGACGTGGAACAAAAGTGTCACCGCGGTAATCATGCCGAATGCCCTCGAGTTATGGGAGATGTTCCAAAATGAGACAAAGCATGATTCATTTCTATGGAATACAACAGATGAAGACTAATTTCAAACAGGAATTGTTAGCCAGTCTCAAATGCACCCAAAGGCAGTACTGCCTAGGACAGGGCCAGCAATCTTTCACACGTGGTTCTGAGATTGGAGTTTGCATAAAGAATATACAAACTAATCCATACCATTCATTGCGTGCTTTAGCACAGCCAAACAATTTCTAAAGCGAATAATTCTTTTCTTCTCAACAAATTTCATGGTATTTCATTTTCTTCACTGTTATCAACAGCACTCAGCATTTTATTTCACTAATTGTAAAACAAATCTTTATTTCCCTGGTGAGACTGTCTGAATACATTTTTCTCAGTCAACGTACACTAATGACAAAAGAAAACTCCAATGTTTCAGAGTATGACTGGAAACTGCTGGTTTTTTAAAATCGTTTTTATTTTACAATACTTCTGCATAAGTTTGTCTGCGCCTGAAGAATTTCTAGTAAGTGGCAAGAATCTATTGTAGTGAACTCTGTCCTCCCTTAGGGCAACTCTTTATTCAACCCAGGCCATTAGCAAGGGTAAATCAATGTTATCAGCTCACACACACTGACAGCTTGTGTGGTTCCTAGTCCCTCATTCCTCCCCCTACATTATGCTGTATTTTTGTGCTCTCCAGGGAAATTCAATTAACAGTGCCAGTCTCCTCCTCTCCGTCAATGACTGACACCATCAAGGCCCCGTTCACCGCCCACTGCCATGTAAGATGTGTCTGCTGATTTCTCCACTCACGAGTTAACAGGAGAATTACTATCCACTTCCATAAATGACTACGTACGATCTGTGCTGTAAACACAGCGACAGCCATTGCAATCCATCTTTCTTGACCTTATTGATTAGGCCACTCAGATATAGTGAGAATTCTCCAGTGATAGAGTAACGATTTGAGGGGTAAAAATCCAAATCAACAACAAAATAATGCATGCCTGTCATCAAATTTATCTTCTATTTCCTGACCGCAGGCTCAACAAGCAGTGACGTTATGAACAGCTGACAATTAACACTGAGCTGCAATTCATGCCTCATTTAAGAGTCTTGGGAAACTACTGATGAAAGGCTATGTACAACACCAGTTTCCAACAATGTATAACATCATAAATAGATAAGTTTTTCTATATTCCTCACACAACACCACTTCAATATGTTGGAATAAATAATTGAGTTTTTCCATAAGTAACACGAATGCTGCAAAATTCAATGAATTTAATGATATCCTTATCTAAAACAGGAGAAAGGTCAGATCTGTTCTTTCAGTTAAATCAAACTGATAACAAGTGGCAACTTCTGTGTCACTGTTAACATGTGAATAAGCACAGAGGTGTCCCGTGTACTCTCAACTGCCATTCCTCCCATAGATGAAGCACAAGCCATTTAAGCTGCAGGAAGTGAGATGAGCATAGAAAGAGGCAACTAACCAGCCTGAGTTGCAGCAAGATTCAAAATACCTATAATAAACCACAGCAAAAGTTGTTCTAATCAGTGCAAGAAGAACAAGGTCAGCCTCCGAATTAGAAGGCTGAAAGTTTTCTGCTGTCTCCTTTGGTTGCACCAAGGGAACAAACAGCACAGGATAAACAAGTGCTTATCCTCAGTTTATCAGCTTTCCTTTATTCCTAAGTGCAACTCCAGTTATTAACGTAGGTCAGCATGTGTTACAGCCAAACTGTGAAATGAACACCACATACTTCATTTTGAAGACACGTGACTTCTGCATCACATACATGTTTCCACTGTGGTCTCTAATCTCCAGTGTACATAAAATAAAGGATTATTTCTCACAATCTAATACAACAAGGTTGTAAGTACAACATCATTACATCCATCACAGAAATTGGTAAGCTTCGATCAGCTTCCCTACTTTCACAAATACAAAATAACTTACCTGGTCTCAGAAAAATTAGTAGCTGAAATTATACTTAAATACAACACTCTTCTAAAACAGTAGAGAATACAAGTGGAACACAGTCCATGTCAAATCCATTTGTTTAATGTTTACTTGTGGCAAAAGCATGGACCAATCTGAAGTTACCAACTGATCCAAAATAACCAGACTATAGATTTTGTTTAAGCAGGCTAGAAAGCCCACACAACCCTACTGCTATTTGAAGTTAAAAGCCAATATTCACCTTCTAGTATTAAGAGGAACACATCTATCTATTAAAAAACACGTGACTTTGAGGGGAAAAAAAGAGAAAGGAAAAAACCTACCATTTTTTGTTCCAGAGTCTCCTTGTCATTATTTTAAATGTTTAAACAAAAATATTGGACTGTGAATCATTAGCCTGCTATTAACACAGAAAGCATCAATGTACAAGAGAGCACTCTATTTGCAGCACTGTATCACAGCCTGATCTTTTAGGCAGTTTAAGTCTCTTCACAAGAAACTCCCTTCAGATACGCTCTGAAACCCCAAAGCTTCTACTACTACAATATTCAATACACCTCTAAAACTTCCCCAAAGCCAGATGAGTATCTGTTTATAGATTAATTGTAAGGTACACAGTAATAGTCACAATACCTCTTTTTCCAGAATGCGAGAGATCTCTCCTAAAGTCCTGTCCAGAGCAGAAACCTTGTTGTTGCCCAGCGAACAGCTATCGTGCATTTGGAGGTGCTTTGAAAGGTCTTTTGCTAATCTCTGTAACCTTCAATGTGAAACAGAAGACAGAGCAGTTAAAGCAAAACATCTCTCAACTGTGTAAACTTTCATCTTTGTAATTAAATCCTTCTAACTGAATTTCAACAAAACAATGAAAATTGGTGTCAAAATGTTATCATCTATACTGAAAAGCAACTAAAATGCACAATATAACACAGAGGCACTGTCAGCTCTGAGTCTATAAGACCTCCCAATACCTACTTATTCAGAGGAACGCTGAAGTAGTGCGACCAGCAAAGCACTATCATCCCTCCACAGTTTGAACGTGATAAAGCTAGCAGGACATTTTCAAGATGTTTTTGTCCTCCTCTTCCATCTCTCAGTTCTTCCCACTCATTCAGTTGAGCAGTTCACTCTTGGGATGAGTAAGGGAAACAGAATAGCAGACTACTTGGCTAAATTCTTATAGCATCATAAAAGAAACTGCTCTTCTCTTGTTCAAATAACCCTGAAAAGTAGTGACTTTGCAGGCTACCTCAGAAAGGGCATTCCATTAACGAGGGTCAGTAATGAAGCCAAAATGCAGAGGAGGGACGTAGATACACACGGGTTAGGACTCATTTCAATTTTACACATCTACCTCTGGGCTATTCACCTATGCTCTCTTGCTAGGTAGAGACAGAAGAAAAAGCAGTTTCAAGGCACCGTGCATCTGATCCTGAAGTCTGAAATAAAGCAGTCAAAGCTCACTTGCAGTATATCCTTTGTCCTGAATGCAAAAAATCAGTGACCAGCTCTCACGTAGATTTCCACTTCTGTAGACGCATTAGAGGCTGGTGATAAAAATGCTAAGCAGGGCCCCCTACCACAGGGCTGCAAGAAACACTGAGGAAGCATCATTCAGTACTTCCATGTATCTGAAATCTCTTCTGATAAGACAGAAAAGTTATTTCACCTGTATCAGGCATCTGCATGCAAAACATGTAAGGTTGATGAAGGTACCACTAGAAAAACACATCACATTTCCACTTCCATTGAGATGCTCCCTTCCCCTTCACACATATCAAAATGCTTGGTATTTTGTCACGGATGCTCATGTATCACTGTGAGAGCCAATAAATACCTAAAGATGCATCGCATCCAAGTTCATGTGAGAAAAGTGAGAATGTAAATGCTCTTTTGCCAAAGAATAGTTTGTTGATTTCTCAAGCATTTCGCTTTTCTCCAAATTAAGATATTTTTAAATCAATTTCTTCTTCTAGAATGATCTTCACTTGCAGAATTGGCACACTTGAACACTAATTACAAACTACATTATTAGTAGAACATCTCTTCCCTCCAGATCCTACATTCAATTTTTCTTTGACCCTGACACCAAGATTTGCTTACAATATAAGAGCAAAAGACCTAGATTTCTTAAATGATTCAATGCATACATTTTGAAAGCCATCAATGAAGTAAAATTGAGTATGTTCTTGATTCCTTGGCTTTTACCAAAAGACAAACTTCTGAAGTGCATTTTCAGCACGACACAGTGAAGAAACATGAAGATTTTCAGTTCTGTAACATCAGAATTACCTCTTACTTCCTCATATCATGCTGTATGCTGGTCTTCTACTAAGAAAGGTCAAGTATGCTATGTGACCATATGAGGAGGAGAAGAGCAATTAAAAAAAAAACAACTCCTTCCACTGAGTGAGCCTTGGAGAACTCAATCTAATATTCCTTATACTGTCTTCATGGCAGCATCAGAGAGAAATAAGAATAATTTTATTTAGAACTGTGTTTGAGAAGTAGAAATCTATGCAAGATGATTTTTGCTTGGATAGAGAAATCATCATTCCTATAACAATCCCAAAAAAGAGAACCCTCTGTACGTATAGTGGATGAATATGGCGTGGCACTGACACAGCAACGATGTGGAAATATTGCTGAGTCGAAATCCAAACATTTCAAAATAATGATTTAATCTTCATTCCATCCCAGAATTTGCATTCCTCCAAGGCTTACCATGTCATACAGGGGACAATAAATAACGGAAAATTTACTGGGTTAAATAAAAGACATAAATGTCTTTTTATCTAAAGTTATTTACATCTCACTAATTGAAATTTTAGTATTGCTCACAAGGAGATAACTCAGAACGCAGAAGAAATACCAAAGAGGACATAAGGCACTGATTGGTATTGGAACGATACCATAATGTAAACTCCAATAAATGGTGCGTTCAGCAAATACATTATTTGGTCCTTTTGCACCACAAATCAGAAAATGAGGGACAGACAAATTAAAGGTTTATATAGCAAATGTATAAATAAAATTGAAAAAAATGTATTGCACAAATTAAAGGTTGGTTTGGTTTTAGTGTGGTCTAAATATTTCTAGCCATTTAATATATTTTGCAGACTAAAGAATAAACAGCTGCCAGTGTTTATAGGCTGTATTTCATCTGCATACAAAAATCCCTGAAATAGTAACATCAATATATTTCAGCACTTCCACATTCAAACCCATGATTTCTTGGCTGCATTCTCAATGTATGTACAGAAGGATTTTGTGCGAGGCAGAGCAGCAGATTCTGGGCAGCTCCTGCACAGGAAGAGCATTTATTCCTCCTGGACACTCCTGCTGAGGGCAGTCAGATGCCAGCTGGACACACAGCATCAATTCTTGCCCCTGCAGCCCATGTCTGGAGAGAACTGAGAAAGTCTGTGGAAGTTCCTGCCCCAAACAGAGCGTTATGCTGTATCCTCTGAGAGCAGCATACAGCCCTGCACTATTCTGTACTACTGCTGCAGTAAAATTAATACACTCCACGTCACACCTGGCACATTCCAATTGCTTGAGGATGTAGTGGAAAACACCATGCTACAAATCAACACAGCTAGATACTAAATACCTAAAGCAGCAGCTTCATACATCTTTGATTTTGGAAATGGAAGCTACCTGAAAACTGCTGTAAGGATGACTTTCTGAATTAACAGACTTGCAATCAGGCTGATGCAGCAATTCTCTGAAAAGAAAACCGACTGGACATACAATCATAAAGTTGGTATTCACCTCTGCTTAAAATCTAACTGAATTCTGTGCTATTTATACTTCAGCTTTCCTGTATTCCTACGCAGCTGTCTGAATTTTGCACAAATACTTCCAGTTTCAGAGATTACTTGATTGTTTTCCCTGGTAATCACTACCTTGGGGTAGCATTTTATAATTGGCCTACCTGGAAACTAGCCTACTACTCCAAGAACACCTACACGGTACCTTTGTCGTGTGAGCACGCTGACACAGCACACAAATGAATAAGAACTGTATCATCAAAGACATTTTGCTTTAAGCCTCTCCAAAAACAAACTTCACATTACATTCCCATCCTTCCACTGCTGACACAAAAGGAAAAAACTTTCCACTTCCTGACTCTCATCTTTTTGTCTTGCAGTCCTTTCTCTAACAGCCACTCTCATTTCAGTACTATCTGAAGTTGCAACTTTACAATTTGAGAAAGAACTGGGGAAAAAAAAGTGAAAAAAGATCAATTTCACGCATGAGAGGAGAGTGGATAAACTATTAAACCAGTCTATCACTCATTTATTTACTTAAAGTTCTCCTGCAATTCTGGTAATTCCCTTGAGCATATGGCAATCTTTCATTGCTTTACTTTACTGCATGTATTAAAGGACAACAATGAAACTTTTCCACCCTCAGACTGATTCAACACTGAACCACCAGCTTTTGGATTACCAACAAACACAAGCAGCACTCTTACTTTGCAAAAGCTTTTTCCTTCCCTTTAAAAAAAAACTGCTGTGATGGGCACCAAACAGAAAGAACCATGATCAACTCACATTTTGAGAGGTGACTCCACAGGCTGGACACTAAATAATCACATTCAGATCAGCTCCCAGAGAGCCCGAATACCACAGATACAGAAGTCCTGTGATTTGTATAGAATGACTCAAGTGCCACTGATGACCAACTGGTTAATAACAGATGAGGAAGGCCAGGCATCAGCACACTGGCTATTCCCAATTGAGAATGAACACCTTGCTTTGCTTAACGAACTTTCTGCAGGAAATGTTCAGAGAGCAAAACAGCCAGCAAGTAACACGTTGTTTGGATTGGTTTCTTTTCACCCCCACATTAAGAGGCACTGTTTTAGATAGATTCTAAACCCAAAACAATAAACAAACATCAGTTTCAACCATTTTCTAGAACTGTTTCTAAACAGGACACCACCGAGACACTCTGATAATCCCACTCTAACTGGAAAAGGTACATCCTACGTCTACCAAAGCCAGATCAACACCATCCTCTTTTTGATATCTGTATTATCAAGGTTCACAAAGCACGTGAATCAGTGCTTCCTGAGTGAATTTTTATAAACCTGCAAATCAGAAGCTAACAAGAATTACTGAAACATCTGTGAGCTGCAGTGGAAAATCAGCGCTCTCATAATATTAAGGTGGCTTAAACTGAAAGGTGATCTAAAAAGGCTTTTTACCTGCCAAAGTCTAATTCTGGGTTCTGTCTTTCTTCTTTAACAACTGCCAACATGACTAACAACTGAAATCAGATAAGAAATTGCATTCCATAAATGGTTTTAGTGTTTATGAAGACACAGCTGGAGGCAGGGGGGGGTTAAAGAAATGTGACATAAGCAAGGAAGCATGTAAGTTGTCTTATTATTTCAATGTAAAATTTGCTTCTATTAAGTGAATAAACAAATCTACCAGTTGTGTCCTGTTTTAAATTCAACGTTTAAAAACTCTTTTTTTTCCCCCCTCAAATTCCACATTACACTGTTAAAAAGCACGCTCTTCTAATTAGTATATTTCCACCTCAAACCTTCTTTCTAAACAAGCAAGAAGCACCAACATTTGTTTTGATGTAACACATTTAGCATCCTCAGTTTTCAAGCCCTTCATTCTGTGGCATGACTTCTCCTACTGACTTTACAGTTCTAAGAGCTCGTGCTGAATACCTGTTACAAATCCTGGCACTGGCAGGGACTCGGGTTCTCTCAACCAGGTACAGCAGCAGTTAATATTGGCTCATAGCAATATGCTGTATTCTAGCTAAAAAGACAACAGTTTAACTATTTCTTGGCCTCTCAATGCAATCATGTTTTAGTGGAGATCTGCTACTGTTTGTTTCAGCTAAATCTTTTTGCTACCAGTCTGTTAAAAAAAAAAAAAGCCCCATTATTTTTTCCTACATAAATTTGTTTCTCCATGTAAACAGATACAGTCTGGGCTGAAACTCAAGCCTCATAAAATTTCTTGTCCTTTCATCCTAACCTTTATAGAAAGAGATAAAACTATCCTATCATAATTCCACTTTATATTAAGTACAGCATAAAGTAAACTGATTTCAGTAGTGATAAATTGGGCTTCTGGTCAATTTACAGATAGTTCTTCATTTCTTCTTACAAAGTTAGCTCAGACCTGAGTTCCCACTGCTACCCGCTTGACTCAAATGAACACTGCAAATATCTGAGCCATGATGGTCAGCAGAAGTGAATAATTTCAAAAGCAACAAGAAAATGTAGATGGCGATATCTGCTAGATAACTGGATTTGCACACAAAGCCTGCAAAAGATGTCCTAGCTTTGTGATGAAAGCGAGCTACACAGCAGCCACTTGAGTTCACTTCAAACTACCCTCCCGGATGCACATAGTGCTACCAGCAGCCAATGCTTGGACCATCTGGATCTGCTGGTGATTCTGCTCTACCTTCCCTAGGATCATTACTTTGAAAGAGCTTGTAAGAGTGGGCTCAGAGGGCCCACACACTCAGAACAAGGCCAGAATTATAAACATGCTAAGAATCTGTAAGATGCTGCCCACTTACCTTTACCTCGCTACCATTCAGAAGCAGGATATAGCTAGCCATGTAATTCACAAACTCCAGTTTAAAAAGAAATGAACATCTACAGAAATGACCACAACACATGCTATGGTTTCAGAATGCTGCAAGAAATCACTGCATGGGAATATGTGCTCAGAGTACAACACGCAGATTAAGTCCTTAGTTGTCACTAAATTTCAGATTCCATCGTTCTGATTCTTCAGATTAGGTCAGAATAATTGTGACACTGGTTTCAAAATAGATAAATCAATCTGCTGACTGATATAATTAGAAAACTTAAGAGGCAGAAAAAGCAAGGATCCATCAACGTATTCAAAACCACCCCACGTTACACCATTACACTGAGATCATCCAGGAAAGCAGATGGAGCTTCGCTCCAAGAGCGGAGGCAATAGAGGAAGGAAGTAAGAAATTTGATGAAACAGAAGATTCTGCCTGAGAGTACAGTAGCATGTCAGTAAGAGAAACTAAAACTGAAAAATTCAGGGTCAGACAACAAAGATAACAAAAACATTAAAAAAAAAACCCATCACATCTGCTTGAATTTCTACTGCACTGCTGTTGAGACAACTGACCACAGTGCATCACTGATGACAATCAGAAAAGAACTAACACAGAAAACCTCATCACTACTTTCAGTTGCTTAAACACTCCACATTTCTGCTGACTGCTAGACCCCAATTTTTTATTTTCTGGTAGCAGAGAAAAGCAAAACACAGAAGCTACAAATCTAGAAGTCCTAATCTGCCATCACATTAATCTTGAAAATTGAAGTGCTGATAATTGAAAAACGAAGCCAACAGAACCTTTTTCCCCAGTGTGTTTATGCAGGTGTGCCATCTGGTGGAGATGTTTCATTTTCTTATGTCAAACCTCGGTGATGGATTATTATTATTTTAAAATACATTCTGAGATTCAGTGGCAGGTTTTCAAATTCTTGAAAAGACTATGTGAAAGATGCTGCCCACAGATCAGTTATGCAAACAACTCAGGAAGCCCAACAGCAAGGATCTGAACATCTCCAACTATAGTAACTTCTAAAAGAAGAAGAAAATGCTACCTTCAAGCGTATCAGCAATTTATGAATGACAGAAGCAACTATAAAACATGCAGTACCTGGAACAAGTTAGAGCTGAAAATAAATATCTCCAACTGGGAAAATCAGACGTAATTTTGGGATGAAGGAATTTGAATCTGACTGTTGAGGCGTTAACAGTCTCTTGACTGACCTGCAACAGACTTCTAGAGAACACCTGTAGGAGTGCTATTCCACCTCCCTCTACCCTACCAATGAACTGTAAATGGATGCCTGAGGAAAACTAAGAATGGAGCAAACATATAAATCCTCTCCACTAATCCTCTTCTTGCCCATGTTTATCTTAGGAATCTTGTGAGATGGATTTCATTTCCTTGAACTACTGTGCATGCAAGATAACCTTCTAGCACAATTCTGTCAGTGAGTTTCATCCAACTCATTACATACAGCACTAAGAATCACTGATCTTCACTCCGTGCTCCCTCACTCTGGCTCTAGGGAGGACAGCACATGATCAATCACTATCCATCTTTTCCACACTATTTATGACCTTGTACACCTCTGTGACAAAATTCCTGTGTAACTTCCTTCTACCAACACATTTTTCTCCAGAAGTATCAGCTTACTTAGTCCTCAGTAAGAAGTTATACCAGAAGTTATTACGCAATTTCCTTTATTGCCCTCTGTGAACCTTTAACAATTCTAGCATCCTTTTTTGGATGAAGAACCAGAAATGCACGTAGCATTCAAAAGACAGAGATGACCCAGACACCAGTACATAATGCCATTCTTTCTTCTGCTTTTGTTTGTTTCTAAACAGTTCTAACAAAGGATTTGCTTTAGCTGCTCTTAGTGCTCTTACACCTGAGCTGCTATTTTCTTGGAACTATCTATCACCTATGTAAGTTCAAAGCCCATTAGTTCATGCGTGAAGATAACACTGCTTTATACCTCCTCTTGACATCTGTGAAGCACTTAGTGTACACTGAAGCTTATCTGCTGTTCTACTGCTTTGTCACTGTCTCTCTTAAAAATTATCATTCAGTGTATCAGCTCTTGTCCTTACTGCTCTGAATATCTTTGTATTGTGGTCAAAACTTTGCCACCTCACTGCTTGTCCTCGGCTGCAAATCACAAGTGATTATGCTGAACATCATAGATCTGTGGTACTCTACTGGTACCATCCCATTTGGCAAGGACTGGCCACGTACTCCACTTCTTTTTGTTTTTTAACTGATTCCCCCTTATGCTACAGCTATATGGATTCCTTTAAAACCTCTGGTGAGAGATCTTGTCAAAAACATTTTAGAATTGAAACATTTTACGTCATACAACCAGCGGTTTCAATGGGAGCAGACAAAAAGCTGATTCATTTTCAGTTTCAAACAAAGTAGGAAAAATTTATCAGTGATAATTGCTTGTTTTAATCTTACCATCCACTGCTTTCATCTGTGCCTTGACCTAGGCAATAAAAGGGCACTCTTCACAAAGCTCAATGCCAGATTAAGACATCTGTGCATTAAAATATGTGTGGCTTCCCTCTATGAACCTTTATTTCTGATCAAAGGGAAGCAACACATACACTTTTCAGTCCTTTAATTCCAGAATTTTCGCAATCAATCTTGAAGTGCAAAGCTGGGACCTTCTTACTCCCAGGTAAGAAACAGATAAGCTTACATTCTCTTTTTATTTCATCTTACATGGTTTAAGAGATACAACAATTTCAGAAACAAAGGCATTTGTAAGGTCTGACCTTTTGTATTAGGAACTGATCTGTGATTCAAGATGACAGTATGCCCTGCACTGAGCAGGAGCCTTACCACACCTGCTCCACTGGAAATTTCAGAAGCATTTCTGCTACAGAAAGAAAAAATTCTAAAAAAATATATAAAAAAATTAAATGCTTACTTGGCTTTAAACGGGGAATCAGAGATGGTATTTTTTGCTTCCATCAAACTCTCATATTCCTTTGCCCTGGAGGAAAAAATAGTAATCATTTATCAATTGTTGCCTTAAGCATGCATTATGCAATACCAGCAAGATAATTCTAACCTTTCCATTTTTTTCTGTTTCATAGTTATGCCATTTTTGACAACTCTGCGTTGTCATAATCCATTCAGATGTTTAACTACTGGCCACTGTTACTTCTTTATTATTATTATTTTAGTGTAACATCAGTACGCAAGTGGTGGATTTAACTGACTTTCAAAACAGTGACAAATGTTACAAGCAATGTATATGATAACAGAAAAAGAACTGTAGAAGCATATCTCACTGTAAAATTACCCCATTCAATAAAATCATTAGTAATTTAGACAGGTGGTGCATATCGTAAGAGTACAGCAGACATAATGTAAGTATTTTGTTCATCTACAGATACAGGAGTATTTTTAATGAAACTAATAACTATTTTGTGACACTGTGAATCCTGCTAAGCTTACAGCACAGAATGTAAATACTTCCACTAACAGCCATGGGAAACAAAAATAGGACCTGTAAACACACACCTATTTAGATGCTTGAAAGCATTCATACTGGCCATACACCGAGGAGCAGGAAGACAGAGACAAGACTGCTTTTTCACCACTTGTTCTGATTGCAACCAGTCTAAGCTAGCAGGTGAAAATTATCTCTAGCTCATCAACCAGCACTGGATTTGCACTGGTAGCCCTGCCAGATTTTCTAACATTTGGCTGTACCCAAAGGAAAGCCAAACCACACACTCCAGGGCCACAGAAAAAATTACATCTTCAGAGACAGAGCCCTGTGAAGAAACATTCAGCAGACAGCAGAATCTTCTGGCTGTTAAAAAATACACTGTCTGTTAAAGTTGCTCTCTCACCTCCTAAAGGAAGACCTCAAAGATGCAACACAGACCAAGAGGGACTTCATGGAGATGCACTGTTCCATTCCCTTGGCGTTCTGCTCTCAGATGAACAACTACCACCCCGCTCATGGCTGGAAAGCTATTCACAAGTGCTCAACTTTGAGCATGCTGGATGAACCCTTGATTAAATACATGATTTGTCTCTATCAATAGTGCCTATAGGAAGCCCCAAAGGAAGGTGCCAGAAGTCCCTCAAGACAGAAATAGAAAACATTTGTCTCAGGGCGACTTCTATCCATAGTGTTTTGTGTTGATTTCCAAAGTTTCTGCACACTGACTGCTGATATTTTGTACTTCTGTTTTTACAGATGTCCTGCTGTTCACTCCTCAAGTGTAAGATTTTGATCATGGACTCCAATGGGAAATGTGTTTTACTGCTGCGCTGCAAAAAAACAATCCAGTAAAGCTTTAATTCCTACAAATTCCAAAGCCTTAATTACTATCTTATTACTTCATTTACTATCTTAATAGGTCTTTTCTCACAGCTTCCTAAACAACCCCATTCTTTTAAACTTCTCTTCATGACAGCTTACTTTAATTATTACTCCTGTAATCTTTTCCTGTGTTCTACCCAAGGTCCTCTGAGCTAGAATGTCCTAAGTTACTGAAAATAAAATCAATGTAACAACAAAGTGAGATTTTGATTGTGATTGTAAATACAACCGTTAAAGGTCTTTACTAACCTGTAAATAACACTCCTTCTCTTTCTAGTGTTTAGATATCTTGTTTAAAGCCTGGAAGTTTCAGTATTTCTCTCAAAAGCATCTACTGCACATTTCTCTACTTTTTCTTCACCCAAGTGGATCACATTTTTCAAAGATTTTTCCCTCAGCTTGCTTAACCAAAACAACTTGTGTCACATACAAATACTGTTACATCAGAACTAGTTCTGATTTGTGGATCATTAATAAAGCTATTAATCACAACTGAATTTAGTATTAAACATGAAGGTGAGATTCCCTTATTAACCTTTTGCCTTCTTCCCTGTCTCTTAGCCAGAAACAACATATTTTAGCTTTGAGTTTCGTACAGATGAGTCAGTCAAATATGAATGATCACCTGAAATATCTATTACCAAATGAACATGACTGGAGTGCCTTCAACCCATTGCAAAGCACATCCCTACTGTGTGTGCTTCCTCCTTGGTAACTACAGCTCTGTTGCTGGATGTTAGCTTTCATCAGGCCTGTTTGCCACGTGGGCACTGAAGCGCTCTCACAGCAGCACGCGCGTGTGAAACAGAGATAATTTATTTAGCCATATATCACGTGTTACTACAGCACCAGTTTAACAGCGAAGGGTTATAAATATTATTAATAAGACTAACAAAACTTCTCAACATATCTAATAACCCACTGATCACAATTTGTCCCCTCATTCACCTTTGCCCCTCGTAGCTTTCATATTGTTACATTGATTTAGGAGCGAGGAGCTCAGGAGAGCAGCAGGAACCTATTTTAATGCAGTTACTTATTTCTTTCCCTTTAAAATATCACAGCTTCCTAGAATCTAAAATGAATGTATGAAATGTGTAATTTCAAGTCTTCAGACAGAGCAGAGTTTAGTACCATTATTTCTTATATTTCAGAGAAGAGGGACAGTTGCAAATATGTGTTAAAACACAGCTTTATGGATAACTGCTCCCAATAAGTTGATTACTACAGGCTTCCAGTTCTGAGCTGAGAGTGTGCTGTAACTTCCAACTATGTGCAACTCCCAACCACTGTCCAGATTGCTGGGAAGAAACATAGCAGACAGAGCCGAAACATTTCACTCAGCATTTCATATCATAATTCTGAGATCGTTACTTCAATCACTTTAGCAATCTCTGAAAATTCCAAGGCAGCACGCGCCCACAGAGATCACTGAGTCCAACTCCTGTCTCCATCACAGGATCATCCAAAATTCCAGCTGTGCATCTAAAACCCTGGCAGCTTGGGGCTGTGCCCACTGCCATGGGCAGCCTGTTCCATGCCCTCCACTCTCTAGGGCAAAGCCTTTCCCTAACCCCCACCTGGCCCTGCCCTGACACAGCTCCATGCCATTCCCTCAGACCTCTGCTCTGGGCTGAGCAAACTGGGATCTCCATCACTCCTCACCTCTTCCCCCATGTCCTTCACCATCTCCATAGCCCTCCTTGGGACACCCGCTGTTAGTTTCATGTCCTCGTATCGTGGTGTCCAAGACTGCACACTGTGCTTGAAGTGAGGCTGCACCAGTGCAAGGTAACATACCATAATCCTCTATCGTTCTCTTTTTATGGAAAACCTCCCCAATAATAAGCCTACAATTTGGGATGTCCAGGCACTAGCTGCTCTTACCACACCTATCACTCAACCGTAGAAGGCAGCCAAGTTATGCATGGCTACAATTCACCTCCTAAATGGCATTTTTTTCCCCCCTCATCAGCTTTTTGTTTGAAATTCCCCAGAACAACCTTTGTTTCTTTCTACCACTGCACATCTTTATTAGCAAGCCTTTTGGGTTAACACCAAAAGTTTCAAGTGAAATTGTGGATTTAGCTTCCGTTACCTTCATGGACAGCAATCTCAACAAAATGTGTAGTCACTTTCTTTTTTTCCCTTGCAACTCAATTAAAAACAATCTTAAGTGTGCATTTCATGTCTTTCCAATTCTACTCCTCTTAGATTTTGAAACTTCCACCATTTTTCATTAGCATATCACTTCTGTGAAATGATGCTCCCATCAGTCTGCTTTCATTAGAATTCTCGGTGATGGCTTTGCTGACTCACCCAGCAGTCTGAAACACCAGAATTCAAAATGTTCTGAAAAAACTTTTCACCAATTAGTGCCAACGACAAGTCATTATTTCATATAATACCCTTAGCTCTTCACAAACCTCAGACTAAATGTGGCAGAAGGAGCTCTTGAGACAGGATTAAAATCAGATTCAGTAACTGAGTTAATTCAACAGGTAACGTGAATGAAAATCCATCCTGACCAATCAGAAGCTTATGAGAATAGGTTACTCAATTCCATCCGTGTCCTCCTACGTAACGTTCAGACAGTGGATTTGCTCATCCATGGAACAAGAAGAAATGATTTAAAAAAGTAAAATTGTCTTTTTGAAGACTAGTGTGCCATTATTATTATTAACAGTTACAAGCTAATACAAAGTCTCACTTTCACTGCGGATGTAAAAATGTAGCCAGCTGTTTTTCCTCTAATCTGCAGCCCTTCTTTAATTAAAAACATGACAAAGAAACAGTTTATTTCACCATCTGAGTATTTTTCAGAGATAAATGTAAAAATACATTATAACATTAAGTAGGAGCTTCAGCCAGGATCTGTTCAGCTATGAAGATTGACGCTGCAGTACACGCTATAATGCCATCCTGCATATCTCACCCATTTGGAGATGTCACCTTTTCAGCTAATAACAAATTGCAACTTTAACAACTCCCTTTCCATTCTGAGATATTTTAATCTTTCTTCTTGTTGTGACAGGCAACAAAAAAAAAAATGATTAAATTTAGTCAGGAGATTTGACACCACAGCAGGCTGACTTCTATTTGTTGATTACTATTGATTTTCTTTGATACTTCATTTAAAAATCAATAGCCCGAAAGAAAAATAGGCAAGGTTTACACAAATTTAAACATGCTATTGTATGCTAGAAGAGGCTACAGTTTTGGCAGGGCACTGGCATCCAATTATGAGAAAAGCTCTTAACAGGTGAAACCAAAGGGCTCCAGATCGATACTCAGTTTTCCTTCTCAATCAGAGAAAGTGGCCATAAATTAGGCTCATCAGTATTATTTTCAGGACACACTCAAAGCAAATAATTTAAATTTCGTTTCAGCCTTCCGTGGCACTGATAGCAAAGGACAAAAAGTAAAGTTCAGAACAAAATTTAGAAGCAAGCAAACAAACAAAAACCAACCCCAAACAAACAAAGCTTTACTACCTGGAGTTCATCCGTGCTTTCAGCTTTTTGGCTTTCTTTTTAGTTTTTTGCTTCTCCTCTCCATCTTTCAATGGCTCCACAGGAACAGAAGCCTCAACCACGATATCCACAATGTACTTTTTTAGTGACAGGTGCTCCTGCAGAAAATAAGGAAATAATATTTCATCTCTCCTGCGCATCGAGCAGCCTGCAGGTTATCTTCCCAGAAAACTACAGTGGAAAACATTTTAAAAATGCTAAGAAAAACGAATAAAAATTTTCAAATAAATGTTAGTTTAAATATTAGCTGCATTCCCTCTGTACTGCAGAAAAATAACATGAGTAAATACACTTGAGAAAATTAGTAGCTAACCAAAAAAAAATGGTGGTGCCTATGTTGAAAATTAGTATTTTGTAGCTGTGAATTTGCTTTATCAAACACTGTTATTGTGCTCTGTTGAAGTTTCCATCAAATAAATGGGAGACATTAGTACTGGAGCAACCTATGTATTTTACATCATGATTGAAGTTGTAACTATCAGCTAACAGAAAGTGCCCCTCACTTACTGAAAAGGGAAAGTAACAGGCAAAGTGAACGTGAAGCTATCATTTAAAGGAAAAATCTCCATTGCTAGGAAAAGTCCCACATGCTTCAGAGATCACTAAAGGTTTTAGATAGCTAAAACAATTTGTCCTGCAAAAAGTAAGAGACAAGATGCCACGTGCTAATTACTAAAAAACTAACGTGCATTCTGACACACAATTAGACAACTGTGGACCAGATGAAGATGTTAGATATCTAAAAGGTTTCCAAGAACACTCATTGTTGTGGGTTAGAATGGAGTATCATTTTTTTTTTATTATTTTTTCCCCTCCAGCAGCTGTGTGCCTCAGTGCTGGAACTCCTTCTTTTCTCTATACTACTTCTTTTGCTCCTTTCCTATAACACAGTTCAGAAAACACAAAGGATTCAACCCCCAGGAAATAGATTATCTCACACCAGAGACAGCACATCATGGCTATTACAATGAGAAACTGAAGAATTATTAGAAGTGGTATAGGAGAATAAATGTTGTCCCTCGTGCTAAAGAAACAGTTACTTAATATGTGAACTCCCACCCAACGTGCCCTTCCTTCTTGCATTTTACAGCTACATGAAACCAAAACCCAGCTCTAGCAGTGTAATTCACTGCACTAAATGAAACACCATTACTTTTCCCCTCATTAATGGACTTAAAGTATAGGTAAAAACTCAGTTGTCCATAGAAGGTGAGTTTTAATTGCAATCCAGGTTTTACTTAATGCCATTCAAGAGAAGTCTGTCATCACAGCAAGTGATCTTAAGTACACATTCTGTTTTAAGCTTTTAAAGATGTTACTAAAAAGAACTGTTTCCTCCCATACTAGATCAACCACAATGCAGTTCAAAACACGCATTTAAAATAAATATTTATCGTTTAGAGGTGAATAACTTAAAAGGTCATTCCCTCAAAGCTGTCCATAATTTGCACAGACATGCAACCCCAAGAAGGAACATGGGAATGCCTGCTGCACACAGTTTTTGCTCAGTTTTCTCAAGCCACAATTTATATCAGCTTCATTTTCACAAATAAAAGTAAGAAAATAGTTTAATGCCAGTTTTTAGAGAACACTTGCTACATTTTTAATATAGGAAGGCTTACATTTGTTTTCCAATAGAATACCGAACGCATTATGAAGTATAATTCACCACTGCTTATTAGGATGATTTATCTGCTAAAGTGATTAGTGCCACAATGAGAAGCTGTTACTCCTCATTATTTATTACATATTCTTCAAATTCTATGAAAAAGGTGAAGTGTAACAAATCTAAAAACAATATTTTGCAGAAAAGCTGTATTTTCTCTCGTTCCTTCTTTCAGGGACTCAGGAAGATATTATGCCTCTTGAAAACAAAATAAATCTTGGTGAAACTTCCTGCAAGAAGACCAGTTGGTATTTGTAAAGCATTAGTACATGATATAACCTAGCAATACATACTTGGTCAAAACAGTAATAGAAATTCCTATCCTAAATCATGCCAATGTGAAGTGAATGCTGAATTAATATCACACATAAGAAATCAAACACAAAAATCTAAGCAATTTCCGAAAATGCCAGTGCCTTTAACTTGGCTGCACTGCGTGGCTCCCAGCATATGTGAGCGTTCTTCCCCAAAATACTGTTCTAGTGAACTGAAGCTGTTTTAGTTATACGTGACAGCAAGCTGAGCAGCTTCCACAAGCATGCTTCCCAGTACTCAGATCAAATATTGCCTCCCCACTAATAATATTAATTAAATTTTAGGAAGTCCTTAAAGAAAAACGCTCTTAAGGTACTTCAGAAGGCTGTCTGTTCCCTTAGTGCATGATTCAGTACAACAAGAGTAAAACACACCAGCATCCAATGGCTCAGTTTGTAACCAATTCAGAGCAGCATACAACATGAACCGGCCCTGTGCTGGCTATGAAATCCCAACTCATTTTTGTCTCCTCACAGAGAGGCAGCCCTCAGCATCTACTCAAATAGCAGTCACTGGCTCTTCCCTTAATTTTCTTTTGTCATAAGGCTCAAACTCCAGAGGAAATCAATGACTTCAAGTTTTTCAGTGTTAAGAAAACAAAGGACTCTCTTCTCAGAGCAAGCTATCAATCTTCAGGGTACTTAGCTGTAGGCATCTAGAGGGTGCTCCCTTACTTTAATAAGGATTATCTGATTGGATTGATACATACACCCCTAAACTAGCATCCCTGCACATTGCTATTTCCCATTAGTTTACCTACATCACATCCTATGAGTGATATGAGAAACTGAGAAAAAGTATCAGGGGCTAAAAAAAAAAAATAATAATTAAGGACTACTATTTGACTAAATAGCCTACATCCATATTCAGCAATTTTTTTTATTTTTTTTATTTTTTATTTTTTGCTTTCGTTAGACTTCCAAACTATGTGCTGTATCCTTCAAAGGGACAGTAAGAGCAAAAGGAAGTAAGTGCCCTTTGAAATGGACACCATGTAAGATATGGGGTACATCATCCTCATTCAGGTGCAGTCAACCCACCATCCTCGTGCTACACGAGGGCAACAGCAAAGCCACCTCCCAGCTTTGGACAGGTAGCAATGGGGAGAGAGACAAAGAACAATGTCCCCTCTGCAGACACTCAGCTCTTTTCCCCAGTCTGCTCTGGGGCTTAACAGAAGACTTAAGGGTTCAACAAGCACATTCATTTGTCAGCCTGTGGGGGCCAGAACAGGTCCAGCTGTCAATGCATGAAGGATGGCTACAAACAGTTTCGTTCACGTGAACTCAAGCACTTACACGAGGATATTTCTCAGACTTCTCAGCTTTCAAGTGTGGCAGTTAGGATTAATATCAGACTTCATAGTTAAAGCTCATTCAAGTCAGACTAGAGTATTAACATCCTGTGTCACAAAACCATCACTTTCTGAACGCACAGATCAAAGAGCAGAACCATCACTGCAGGCAGATCACCGCCCAGGTGTGAAACAATAGCTAACAGCTCAGGATGCAGTGACTGCTCAGGTCTGGGAAGATGGCTGCTGCCAACATCGCGCAGTGCAGAAGCGTTTAATCCTACAGATTATAAGCTCCTAACAGTTATCTGGAAAAAAAAACAAAAAAAACCCAAAAAAACCTCAAACCCAAAACCCAAAGCCTTTTAATCCAGTGAGCCATGCTGAAGAACTCTGTCTGATCCTCCAAATAATGAAGTTCTTAAGTAATTTCACTCACACAACCATTGGTTAGAGAGGTTAACATACCAAAAAAAAGGGATTGCTCTAAGTGTGTCAAAGTGAGACTAACCACACGCAGCCTAAACAGCAAGCTTATTTCATCTCCTGAATGCTTTAAGCAACAATTTCATCCCCAAATTTCAGTTTTTTTCCCCCTCATTTCCAATAAAGGCAATGCAGAGTAATCCATTCACTTCTTCTGAAAGCCTTTTTAAATTTTTTACAATTATTACCATACAAGTCAACGCTGAATGCATTAAGACTAATTTACCTTCTCCATAGATGCAATCTGGGGTTTGTTTCATGACAGTGAAGATGCATTACTGACCTGATTCTGCACTGTGTTGAGCATCTTATATAGAGAATTACTCCACACCCTCAGATATTAGCAAACCTCATAGTAGCAAACCTGGAGACTCAGGCCATGGTAAATGCAAAGCATTAAGCAAAGACAATTCTCTAGTGAAAGCCTGCTATTAAGATCTGTATTCTTACCTACCAAAAATGTTGCTTTCATTGTGGTTTCTCAGTTTCTACACCAGCAACCTCAGTTCTAGCCATGCAGATTCTCAAAAGCTTTGTTTATAAGAGTGTTGTAGAATACAGGACTAAACCAGGAAAAATATTAACACTTTTTTAATCCCAAGATTACAATAAAGCCTGGCTGTGATTACAACAGCTGTGATAGACATTAAGCATCAGATTTCTGCCACCATTTCTCTTTCTTGATACCTCCTGCTCTAATATGCACAATTAGCATCATTTATATGGAACAGCAAGGTATTAACTTCTATGAAAGTGGCAGAATCTATGCCACAAAGAGCAGGTAAGCTCAATGTACAGCTGCTAAACAGGAGAACAGGAGCTGAATGTAGATATATTTCTGGCAATGGCTCAATAATGCAGTAGAGTAGAAATACTCCCTTCAATGTTATTTACATGCATTCATCTCAATAGAAGCTTATTTAAAAAAATCCCTAGGTATACAGGGGGAGAATGTCTATAGCTGAGAAAGCATATGAAACATAAGATGGTTAATAGAAACAACTTGATATTTAATGGCATTCTGCATATGCACGACATCGTTTAAGAATGTCATTTTAAACTTGAGTTTCACAGACCTCTAGTATTTTTAACATGACACTGAAGACCATTTAAAAACAATCAAAAAAACTTCCTGTACAAATATCACTACTTCATTTATAAAGAAGGTGATAAAAATGACGTTAAATGTGCACGTACAACTGCAGCCTCAACACAGCAGATGATAAAATAAGATTATTTACAAAAGGAGTTTTTGCTTTTCCTCTCTTTTTTCTGCGTCTCAGCCATTTTCATTTCTGCTCACTGAGAATCCTGAAACTTTCCAAAATGCAACAGAT